ATCTATATACATATATAGATCAATACATATATATATATATACATATATATATATATATCATATATAATATATATACATATATCTATATAGACATATATATCTATATATATACATATATATATATACATATAGATATATATATACATATTATATATAAACAATATAGATATATACATATATATATATATATCCAGATTATATAATATTTATAGACACATATATAGATAATATATATATATACATATCTATATTATATATCTACAAAATATAATAATATACATATATATATATTACATATATATATTTATATACATCTATATATATATATATTATACTTAATCATATATTATATATATTATATATATATATTACCTATATATAATATATATAATATTATATAGCTATATATACATATATATATAGAGATATATATACCTTATTTTATAATATATACATCTTATCTATATATATATATATAGATATAATAATATTATATATTATATATATATATAATATTATTATACATTATATATATATAGATATATATCATATATTATATATATTAATATATATACATATATATATATCTATATAATATATATATAATATATATATATATATATATATACATATTATATATCTAATCTTATATATAACATATATATATATATATATAATATATACCATATATATATATATATATAAATATATATATTATTCTATAACATATATATATATATCTATACATATACATAGATATATCATTATATATATCTATCTATATATTATCATATATATATAATATTCTACCTATATATATATATATATATATATATATACATAAATATGAATATATATATATATCTATATATACATATATATATAATATACATATATAATATCATATAATATATATATACATATGATAGATATATATATACATATATATATATATATAATTATATATATATACATATATATATACCTATACAGATACATATATATATATATATATATAAATGAATATATCTATATAATATAATATATATTATACATATATATATTAGATTTAATTACATATATATATATATATAATATATTAGATACATATATTATATACATTATACAATATATATATACATATACATTATTATATATATATACATTATTACTAGATATATATATAGCTTAATATATATATATAGATTTATTATATACATTATATACATATAGAATATATACATGATATATACATATATATATATATACATATATATATATCTATATACCTATATACATTATCTATATATATATATATATATATAAAAATATATACATATATATATATATATATCTACAAATACTATATATATATATAATGAATACATATCTATATATAGATACATATTACATATATACATATATCTATTATATATCTACATATATACTATAATATATATATAATAACATTATATAGATATACATAATTCTATATTACATATAATATATATACCTAAGTATAGATATACATCTATATAATATACATATATATATATTACATATATATAATATATATATAGAATATATATATATATAATATATATATATATATATATACATGATATATAGACAGATTTATACATATATATATTTACAATATTATATATACATATATATACATATATCTTAAATATATATATATCCAGTATATAATATAACATATAGTTATATATATACATTATCTATATACATATATATATATACATATATTATATATTATAATTATATAATATATATATATATTATATATATTATAATTTTATGGTGTGTGTGTGTGTGTGTGGGGTGTGTGTGTGTATGGTTGTGTGTGTGTATATGTGGGTGTGTGTGTATATGTGTTGTGTGTATATGTATGTTGTGTATAGGTATGTGTATGTATATATGTGTATGGATGTATGTATGTATGTATGTATGTATGTATGTATGTATATATATATGTAGTACTATACTATAGTATGTGTATTATAATATATATATAATATTTATATACATTACATATATTCTAATTAATATATATATAATTAATAGACATACACACACACCACGCACACACACATATGGATATATATGTATGTATGTAGTCGTATGTATATGCAATATGTATATATGTCTGTATATATGATAAGTGAGTGTGAGTGAGTGTATATTGTGTCTGTAGGTACCTATATATATGTGTAGGGATACACTTACAGTTATATATTACATACATATATACCTATATATCCGTTATATGTTCATATTATCATCATAGATATAGCTATATGATCGAGAGATAAGAGAGAGTGAGAGAAGCTCATATTATATATAGCTCTAGATTGTATAATAGATCTATAGATATATTATATGAGAGTAGATAGAGAGATATAGAGATGAGAGAGAAGGGGGGAGATATAATCTATATATATAGGTGTGTGTCGATATTAAATATTAGGTATAGATAGATATCGATTAGATAGATATATAGAGAGATAGATAGAGGGGTATATAGAGAGATATAGAGATAGATCTATATAGGAGATATATATTAGGATATATAGATAAGATAGGTCGGGGTAGGAGATAGATAGATAGAGAGATATAGAGATAGCGAGAGAGAGAGAGATAGAGAAGTATTATAGGGGGATTGGGATAGAAGATAGGGAGGGGGAGAGAGAGATATATAGAGATTGTAGAGAGATAGAGTATAGAGAGATATGGAGAGAGAGCGAGAGAGAGGTATAGGGAGGGATATAGAGAATGATATAGATATATAATGGAGATAGAGATATCGAGATAGTATAGATAGAGATATGTATGATAGAGAGAGATATGAGATAGGGATGTGGATTCTAGAGAGACAGATAGAGAGAGAGAGAGATAGATATAGAGATATAGAGGTAGGTGTCTATATATATCAGATATATAGAGAGAGAGATATAGAGAGCTATTGGAGATAGGTATATATAATATATAAGATAGATAGAGAGAAGAGATGGAGCATAGATATATATATGAGAGATTATAGTGAGATAGAGAGAGTAGGGAGATAAGATAGTATATAGTAATATATATATATGTATATAGTATCGAGAGAGAAGATACAGAGAGAGAGAGGTAAGAGGATTAATATATGTATATAATATATAGAGAGAGGAGGGAGAGTAAGATATATATATATATATATAGATATATAGGATATATATGAGAGGGAGATATGTATAGAGAGAGATATAGAGATCTTATAGTATATGTATAGAGCTAAGAGAGATATATATATAGATAGTAGTATAAGAGATGGATATATAGAGTAGATATAGAGATATAGGGGATATATGATAGAGATATTATATGATATATAGAGATGTAGAGCAAGGGATAGATGATAAGAGATCTGAAGAGATGAGAATAGGACTATAGAGATATATATAGTAGATATGATATATAGAAGATGGAGAGCTAGAGAGATCGGATCGATAGATAATAGATAGAGATATATATAGATAGATAAGATAGAGGTAAGAAGAGAAGATGAGGAGGGAGACTAGAGTAGGGAATAGATAGTTATAGAGAGAATAGAGAGAGATATATTAGAGGAGAGGTATGGATATATAGAGAGAGAGAGAGATATATATATAGGTAGATAGCTAGATAGATCTATTATAGAAGATTATAATATCTATAGGGATAAGATATCGAGAGAGATAGAGAGGATATATATAGATATTGTAGATAGAGGGAGAAGATAGCGAGAGAGATAGAGGAGATAGAGAGATAATGATATGATATATCTATTAGATAGATATAGAGAGAGTATATATATATATATATATATATATATATATATATATATATATATATATATGTATATATATATATATATATATATATATATATATATATATATATATATATATATATATATGTATATATATATATATTTATATATATATATATATATATATGTATATATATATATATATATATATATATATGTATATATATATATATATATATATATATATATATATATATATATATGTATATATATATATATATATATATATATATATATATATATATATATATATATATATATATTTATATATATATATATATATATTTATATATATATATATATATATATTTATATATATATATATATATATTTATATATATATATATATTTATATATATATATATATTTATATATATATATATATATTCATATATATATATATATTTATATATATATATATATATATATATATATATATATATATATATATATATATATGTATATATATATATATATATTTTATATATATATATATATTTATATATATATATGTATATATTTATATATATATATGTATATATTTATATATATATATGTATATATTTATATATATATATGTATATATATATATATATATATATATATATATATATATATATATATATATATATATATATATATATACATATACATATATGTGTATATATATATATATATGGAGAGAGAGATACTTATACATACGTATCTATATATGTGTATATATGCATATATATGTGTATATATACGCATATCTATATATGTGTATGTAAATGGATATATATATATATATATATATATATATATATATATATATATATATATATATATATATATATATTATCCTGTTTTGTGTGTACATTCATATATATTTTCATATATATATATATATGTATACGTACATATATATACAAACATATATATATATTGACAGAATTATCCTGTTTTGTTAAATTATACGACGGGGGATATGCCAACAATCGGATTTACTGAAATTGAAATCCCTTTGGTACAAGAATATTTTTACCTCTGTGCTCTCTAGTAAAATCCTCTTTTTTTTGCATCACTCTCAAAGTGAGACGAACATATCATTTCCAAAAAACTTTAAAACGTCGCAAAGTGAACTCACCAGAGTCCCAGCGAGGGTAGGTTGGAGCAGCGTTGCCAACATTCCCGTCACCAAAACCAGCGTTGTCATTCTCGTTCCGCCCATCTTGGTCTTCGCTTCCGGTCTGATGGTCTGGTTTGCAATGTTTTAGTCGCTCTGGAAATGAAAATGAAAAAAATATATATATACGTAATTCGTGGTTGTATATTTACTTTTCATAAAGAGACACAGGATATGCACATGGTAACCGAAATGTTATATAGACACTTTACACTAAATATTGGACAAGATACGCTCCAGGCACTCCAGGAATAGGAAGTCATCGCCATGAATTGGAACTAGTGAGAGTATAATCAAATTAAGTTTAAAACTTGTAATAGTTCACCACATATGTTGTTTCCATTGATGCAGCACAGGTGTTAGGAGAAAAGTTTACTGGCTTCCTTTAGGCCCAAAGAAAGGGGTCGGAAAACTTTTTTTTTTCCTTTGTCACTGAATTCGAGTTTTCCATAGATTGTTTGAGCGGATAATAGCCCTTGTTAATAGCGAGTAAATGTAATATTTAAATGAGAAATTCGTTATATGTACAGTACGTTATGATCCAGCAATTCTGCTGGCTCTCTTAGGATTGATATAGTTGTACGTAGTGTGTGCTTTAGCTAAAGTCATGATTTGGTATTGTAAAAATTCTACAGTATTAATTTCAGTTTTGTATAACACTGGATGGTGTGTTTATACTTTTATGATTCTTAATTTTCAAATGCTCACATTAACAAAACAGCAAAATCAATATTGTCATCATAGATACTCACAAAAAAATATAATATTCGAGTGAGCGTGCGTGCGTGTCTCCTGTCATGCTGATCCCCTACAAGTGAAGTGTTATCGGCGCCATAACGCGATTATTTCCAAAGTCCAGTCTTACATAGACTGATTATTTCCTGGTTGGAGATTTACACGTTCCTCCCTCTTTTTTTTTAAGCTACCACCAAAATGTGTGAATGCGATGACAGAGCCCAGACTTCGGATTAAAATGCTAGTAACTTCTTTAATAACCTTAACAGCATTTGCAATTCTTTTAGATTTTGCAAAAACTATCCATCGCATTACAGTTTTATATACATTTTTTTACGTTATGATACAGAGGTAAACATTGATTACTAACACTAATCAACGCCGAAGTCTGGGCCCCAGCGTCGCATTAGCGTCTTTTCGCGCCTGGCTTCTGGACGAACGACAGAATCAGAGCTGAAGAGGGACGGAAGTGTGGGATATTTGCGACGTTTTGAAGGGCGACGAGACGAAAGAGGGTGTCGAAAACCTGTCACAAGTCTTGCTCAAGTCTGGACAACTAACGCTCGGACAGGCATTTTCGTCAAGGGAGATTGTGGACAAGTGACGGGCGGAAGGTGAGCCGGAGAGAAAATGAACCAAAGCGCAAACGGTGGCGGTCAAACGTTAATCAAGTCGTTCGCCCGCGAGTAGGGGGGGGGGGGGGGGGGCGAGACTCGTGACGCTGGGAAATCCAGAAGACATATTTATAAGTGTTTGTGAATATATGCCTACATACACATATTCATACATATACATATATATACACATGCATGAGTATATATATATATATACATATATATACGCATATATGCATAAATACGTATATAATCATGTATACATATATGTGTATATATATACATATCTATATATGTATATACATATCTAAATGTACATACACATACATACATATAACTACACATACGTATGTACGTATTTGCCGGTGGATAAGACGCACCGCTATTTGAGGAGGATGTTTCTTGGAGTTTTTTAGTATGTGCCATCACACATTTTTATTAAAATGCATATATACCTATACATATGTATACATTATATATGTATATGCATGTATATACATATGTATGTTTACATGTATACACACACACACACACACACACACACACACACACACACACTATATATATATATATATATAAATATATATATGTTTACATGTATACACATATATACATATGCATGTTTACATGTATACACATATATACATATGCATGTTTACATGTATACACATATATACATATGCATGTTTACATGTATACACATATATACATATGCATGTTTACATGTATACACATATATACATATGCATGTTTACATGTATACACATATATACATATGCATGTTTACATGTATACACATATATACATATGCATGTTTACATGTATACACATATATACATATGCATGTTTACATGTATACACATATATACATATGCATGTTTACATGTATACACATATATACATATGCATGTTTACATGTATACACATATATACATATGCATGTTTACATGTATACACATATATACATATGCATGTTTACATGTATACACATATATACATATGCATGTTTACATGTATACACATATATACATATGCATGTTTACATGTATACACATACATACATATGCATGTTTACATGTATACTCATATATACATATGCATGTTTACATGTATACTCATATATACATATGCATGTTTACATGTATACTCATATATACATATGCATGTTTACATGTATACACATAGTTACATATGCATGTTTACATGTATACACGTATATACATATGCATGTTTACATGTATACACGTATATACATATGCATGTTTACATGTATACACATAGTTACATATGCATGTTTACATGTATACACATATATACATATGTATGTTTACATGTATACACATATACATATGTATGTTTACATGTATACACATATATACATATGTATATATGTATACATATAAATAGATATAGATATATGTGCTTATACATACACATATATAAATACATATATGTACACATATACATATATGGACATGCGCGTGTATGTACACACGCTCACACACACACATACACACACACACACACACACACACACACACACACACACACACACACACACACACACACACACACACACACACACACAATCACACAATCACACAATCACACACACACACACACATATATACACATACACATACACACACACACACACACACACACACACACACACACACACACACACACACACACACACACACACACACACACACACACACACACACAACCACAAACACAAACACACACGCACGAACGCACCCACGTACACGCACATGCACACGTACGCACTTACGCATACTCTCGGACGCATGCGTACATTGTGTGCCTGTTGTAGTCCGTTTATTACAACTTGCAAGTAACAATGCAAATACCTAAGGAACAGAGAAGAATATACTAGTGTATTATGAAAAATGTATATCCAATATGATTAAAAGAAATTATATTTAATAGTGGAAAAGTACTCCAAACCTTAAACGAGGTTCACACGCTAATAACTAAACTAACACTTATTAACAACGACATTTACCTCTACATAAAGCTAACAACTATTACTCGCTTCCAAATATGCAGTAGCATTATTACCTGTGCACCAAACCCACCCATCGCGCCAGACCTACGCATTAAAACAAACCACCAACTAATCGACAAGCATCACAGAATAATACCTGAAGAAGTTCTTCTCTCTGTAGAAACAACACAGAGTGAAGGGTACCAGAGCCCGTCCGAGTCTGTGTGTGTTTGTGCGCCTGTAGAGGACCTGGTAATGAACTGGGCTCTCGCGGTGCGCTGTGTTATGTACGCCTGCAAAACTTACGTACAGACGCACAGAACCCGCGCGCACACTGCTCTTGCGCGAAAATTGATTCGACGTTTTTCTTTTTCTCTCTCTCTCAAATTCTATAATGGGATCTACGATTTTTATAAAGGGTAACATGAGTGTAAACTATATTCTCTTTATATTCGTTAATAGATACGGATGTATATCTTTTAATTAGGTTGAAGTGATTAACATCCTGTGTTTTATAACGAGGGTGTGACCTATAATTGCATAATGAATTGTCTGGCGTTATAGAGTAAAGGGCAACTCTTAACGATACATATAGACCATTAGAGAAACATATGGAGAATGGTATTTTATCTTTTCGAGGTATTTACAAAAAACGTAAATAGATTTAATGTGTGTATGGATATATATAAATAATAAAAATATTTGTGTAAATAAAGATGAATAATACAGATATGTGTATTAATATAAACAGATACAGACACATCCCACAAACACATACATACACACTCATGTGTGTATATATACATATATATGTGTATTTATGTTTATGTTTATGTATATATGTATATATATACATATATATACACATATATATAAATATATATATACACATATATAAATATATATGTATATATATACACACATATGTGTGTGTGTGTGTGTGTGTGTGTTTGTGTGTGTATACATACATATATATGTATATATATTCACATACACATACATCATATATGTACACACACACATATATATGTATATATATATCTATATCTATCTATCTATCTATATATATATATATATATATATATATATATATATATATATAATGTGTATATAAATATTATATATATCTTATATACGCATTGCATATATATTGTATATATATAATATACGGTATATATATATATATATATATATATATATATATATATATATATATATATATGATATATATATGTATATATCTGTGTGTATATATGTATATATACATTTATATATATGTATGTATACATATATATATACGTACATATATATGTAAATATATATATGTATATATATACATATAATATATATATATATATATATATATATATATATATATATATATATGTATATATATATATATATATATATATATATATATATATATATATATATGTATATATATATATATATATATATATATATATATATATATATGTATATATATATATATATATATATGTATATATATATATATATATATATATATATATATGTATATATATATATATATATATATATATATATATATATATATATATATGTATATATATATATATATATATATATATATATGTATATATATATATATATATATATATATATATATATATATATATATATGTATATATATATATATATATATGTATATATATATATATATATATATATATATATATATATATATATATATATGTATATATATATATATATATATGTATATATATATATATATATATATATATATATATATATATGTATATATATATATATATATATATATATATATATATATATATATATATATGTATATATATATATATATATATATATATATATATGTATATATATATATATATATATATATATATATATATATATATATGTATATATATATATATATATATGTATATATATATATATATATATATATATATATATATGTATATATATATATATATATATATATATATATATATATATATATATATATGTATATATATATATATATATATATATATATATATATATGAATATATATATATATATATATATATATATATATATATATATATCAATATACATATATATGTATATATATATATATAAATTTAAATATATGTATGTATATATAGATATATATAAAAATATTCATACATAAATATGTAGATACAGATACAGATATGTTGTGTATATGCGTCTATATAAACAAATTGATATCATTTATATATATACATATCCATATTGATATCATATATATGCATACATATGTATACCCATACTTATATATACATATATAAATCTATCTATCCGTCTATCTATATATACACACATACATACATATATATACATATATGTATATATACATATCTATTCACACATACATACAAATATATATACATGTATATATATATATATATATATATATATATATATATATATATATATATATATATATATATATGTACATACACACACAAACAGTATATACGACTTTTTATAGCCATCGAGTCGGAAAGGAAGCGGCCATTCTACCGAATCAGCCTCCGTCGTAATATGCATAGTTTGTCCTCCACTTGAATGCGTGATCAACTTTTGACTTTTCATACCTAAAGACAAGAACTTTCGTATGTATATGCTGAATAATTATGGAAAATGACCAGGAAAAAATACGAAAATCGTTAGTGTTCAATGTAATCCGTGAGGCTTGCAATGAAAACAAAGGGAAGGGAGACGGAAGCGTGCCTGACTGCCCGTTCGTGGAAGGAACCTGGCGACGTCACGGGAGGGCGGCGAGACGAAGGAGGGCGTCGAAAACCTGACGGAAGTCTCGATAAAAATATCTGTATGAACTCAACAGTCGGCCGCTCATTTTCGCGAAAGGAGATTCTGTTCAGATTTTTTTCCGTGCGAAATGACGGAGCAACGGGAAAGTATTAGTCCGTCACCTGTGGTAACTATCAATCACGTTGTTTTGTTCGTCCGTGAGTCATTACAACGAGTCTCGTAACGCAGGTGATTTATATATATACTTTGCCTCATATGACTCGGGATATCGCCACATGATTCAGCATTTAACACTGACTCGTGACTCAAAGGCTATATCGGGTTGATTTCCACGTGACTCACTCCAGACAGCTACGCAAGTGACTGGCGAAGCACCCAGTTGTTCGTTGTACTCTTGCGAACTGACACGTGATTGCGTATATTATATAACTCCTCTTCACACCGTCATTCAGTATCGATAATCTACAACTTTCATCTATATTCTTTTACAACTTCTGAACTGACGACATTCAGCACATATTTTGGGGAAATAAAAAGAAAGAAAAAAAAACAAAAAAACAAAAAAACAATAAGGCCAACGACCCCATTATACCAGCCTATCATACACATTCAATGATACATACACTAATGATAACGATCATGATTACCAACACAATAATGATAAAAGAAAACACACAAGTAACTACATACAAAGAGCGATCGACCAACCTCCTCTTATCCAGGCTACTGCTTCCCGCCACCCTGCCTCGCAAAGACCACGATCTGCTAGACCCACCTGCGATCCTGCCTCGTAGTAGCCGTGAGCAGATATGCTATCATTAACCTACATGATAAATCCGATTATAAAGCACTTGATCGCATGATAGCATATGATTAATGTCTCAATAGGATATTTTTTTCTGGCACTACTGTGTAATTGATTTTCTATTTCGTTGATTTTCTGAATACCGTGTGTTTTCATTGGCGATAGAACTTTGGTTTCTGAATACCGTGTGTTTTTATTGGCGAAAGAACGTTGGGAAAAAATGGAACAAAGGCGATTATTAATAATTATTAGGTAACCCCAATTTGTAGGTCGGAGCAGAATTAATTAAAGGCCCTCATTACAAAACTACTATTTGGGCACGATAAGATAATAGGTGCTTAATTTGTGTACTGGGGTGATGACTCCGCCCTTATCTTTGTCTGTCTGTTTCTCTCTCTCTCTCTCTCTATTTCTCAGTGTTTCTCTCTCCCAACATCTATCTCCCTCTCTGCTCCATTATCTCTCTCTCT